CCCCCCCCCCCCCCCCCAGGGTGAGGGGGGGCAACTCCAAAATGAAAAGGAAGTGGGTACTCGTCGTCTTGCTTAGGAGTGAAAATCAAGGATTTAAGACACTTGCAACTTTTCTTAAACTCTTCCCTTATTTCCCCAGAACACTATAGCTCATTAGCTAACAACTACGAATACCTCTACCAAGAAACCTACGAAGAACTCATCCCGCTCGTGTTGAAATCTTTAGACTTGAAGCCCCATCACGTTGTTGCTGACATTGGTAGTGGAACAGGCTGGGTTGCCGAGACTATCTTTGAATCGTTCGGCCTAAAAAACCCGATTTGGTGCGTGGATCCTAGCGCAGAAATGCAAGAACTAGCTCGCAAAAGGAAAGGGATTTACCGGGTTCAGAAAACAGCGGAAGAATTTTTTTCTGATCCGAAAATCAGCCAATGTTTTGACATGGTAATAGCAATATTCAGTACACATCACTTTGTCGATCCCGCTGCTGCTTACAAAGGAATATTTCGTTCTCTTCGACCCGGTGGTACCTTTATTCAAATTCTCACGATAAGTGATGGTCATCCCAAGTTCCAAGTGGCCGTCGATAAAATGAGCATTCACTCTCAAAAAATGAGCGAGACGAAGAAGTTCCTCCGTGGGATTAAGTTTCAGGGAAAATTCACCCAGAAAGAGGTCTGTTATCCATGGAGTGTGACAAAATCCAAGTTGTATGAGATGTTTCGTTGTCGTTACATGAGCATGTTTCACCAGTTAAGCGATGAACAAATTGAAGAAGGAATTAAAGAACTCGACAGCGAGACGTTGAAAGATGTGAAGGATAACGAACTCATCAACTGTACCTATGTGATGCTCATGACAAAATTTGAACTTGAATAGCGCTAAATGTCAATGTAAGAGATATAAAAAGTCGTAGACATATTCACTTGGTCGAATTCCCGCTCGACATCCACTGGACGTTTAAGAGGGGAGGGGGTATTGCGTGTCAATTTCAGACGTTAGTGCGGGACATTTTTGACCAAAAGTAAATGATCTATAGTGAAAAGAAAGTTTACTTTATGTTTAGCCAGAACTGCAGACTGCAACAGTCCAAAAACGGACTGTTTTAACCTGGGTGCACTATCGACAGACAGTTGAAAAAGACTTGTTGAGTAAATTAAGGCTCAAGCATGCTTGAAGTTAGTAGGAATGGATTTTAACTAGAATACCGTTGGCAATTAGGTGAAGGCATTTTGATTAAAATCATGACGGCCTCTTTACGCCTTGTACCGATGATTCAACTGGTCGTCTCTTATCAATGCCGCGGTCGAATCAGAAATAGAAAACGTATATTGCGAAAAACGTAAAAAATACACGAGTTTGTATTGAAATGTGACGACTGCATTCAGCAGTTAGAAATAAGGAGAAAGAAATTAAAATACAGTTGAAAAATCACCCTACCCTGCTTCCTTTGTGTATTTGCTATGTTGCTGTGCAGGCTTTTGGAGGCGCGGTGGCCTCATGGTTAGTGCCCTCGTCTCCGGATCGAGCGGTCTGGGTTCGAACCCTGGCCGAGGACATTCTGTTGTGTTCTTGGGCAAGACACTCTACTCTCAAAGTGCCTCTCTCCACGCAGGTGTATAAATGGGTGCTGGCGAAGTTAATGCAGGAGATAACCCTGCGATGGACTAGTATCCCATCCAGGGGGGAGTAGAAATACTCCTAGTCGCTTCATGCTACAGAAACCGGGATAAGCTCTGGCCTGATGGACCGCATAGCTTGTATGCAGACTTCACCTTTTACCTGTGCAGGCTTACGACGTTTTAGAGCCGCTTCAGCGTTCGTAAAATGTAAGTCTGCGTAACAAGCGGTATTCTCGCGCGCGGCGGAAAAATATGAATAGCTCCCAGCAAGACAGACTCCTGAAATTCCATGCGGAACACACAGTGGTCTCCCGAAAATGGTACATACATTTTTATTGGTATACATATATGTGCAAGATATATACAAGTTATTCATTGGTTAAAAAGCGGAATGCGTTTGTCTGTACTCTTCGTTGAAGGCGTCATATGGCGTCAGTGGAGCAGATGCGTTCTCACGTAAGTTTATAAACCTTATAGCTTTGTACTACTTTTGAGCTTTGCCTCAGCTTATACACGTAGCCCGCGTACCAGGCGCTCAAAAAATGCTAGGGAGCGATTGGGAGCGGTAAGCGAGTGCAATTACACGCAAGCGGCGCGGAAACCTCCTCTTACGTTTTGCAACCGCTCCGAACTAGCGCCCTATTATTATTACAAGCGCTATTTTTACTCGAGACGGTCTGTCGCGCAGACTATTTAAGATGTCAACTGGAAGAAAAGTGAAGAAAGGCTTTCCAATTTAATAGCAATTCCAGCAAAATCATCTTAACAGTACTTCAATTAGCTGTCCTTACGTTAACGCGGATTTGAAGTGTGAAACTGGCTGAAATCTTGTTCAGGTAACAAAAAAGGTCCCTAATATTACCGAGGTGGTCACATTATATAACCGGGTTGTCGTCAGGGTGGCCGCGAAATTGCCGTCAACAGTCATATAAAGTACCTGACCAGAGGCAGAGATGAAACTACGGGGGAAATAATCAGTGATGGGGAAAAACTGATCTACAAATTAAAAAGGAGAGTTCAAGTATCCATTATTAAGTAAAACATGTTTCTTGAATATTAAAAAATTGCAATGAATAAAACTCTTTCCTTCCTCTTTGTTTCAAACCGAACAAAAGAAAATCTACAGAGCTCTGGAAACCTTTAAGTTTTTTCCCGCAAAAATCATTGCGTTGAAATAATCATTGCCTTGAAAAACTCTGAAACTTAAATGAACTCATCGAAGATATTTGTACCGACTAAGAGTAGCAATTTTATAACATTGCAAGAGGAAATTGATCAAAAATGTGGTAGAATTATGTACCCCACCACGCTGGGCCGACTTAACTTTTGGTTGAACAAGGTATACGAGCTCAGTACAACATGGCGAAAACAATCATAAGTACAACCTTAAAAAGCATTGCCATGGCAACGTCAACGTTAGCATCGCTGACCACTTTGTCCCTGGTATCAAACTGTACTTGCGCCAGTTTAGGATAGTAATCATTCCAGAAAGCCATTCGGCGAGGAGCAAACGCCGCCGCCATCTTGGGATGAACGTCAACTCGCAAGTAAGCTCTGTGACTGCTGTTGTACCTCTCCCACGTAACACCGCTGACTGGCTGGGGTGTTGGATCGCCGCTCTTGGCGAAGTTTACGTACAACTCCATTAGGAACAAACTGACGTTTCTATCGCCTGCGTCAAAATCTGACGAAAGACCAGGGTAGAACGGGTTTCCAAACTCGTAAGGTACATTAGCACCATGGACCACACCCATCCACTCCTTGTTCTTATTTCCTTTTGTTCTGCGATGTGCGAACTCGTACATGTACACCGGAGCAACTGTGCTGTGAATGTTGGCGACCTCGTGACCTGGTGCAAAGTACAGATAATCACCAATGAAGTCAACAAGTTGGCTTCTTAGTGCGTATTTATTACTGCTGTCTGGCCATGGTGTGTACACGAACTCAAATGCGTCCGCGAAGAGGTCGGCGGTTTCTTCACTAAGAGAGACAATGATTTGTTGGTTTAGTAATGACATGTTTAACAAAGTCAAAACGGCGTCTTCAATGAGTAAAGGTGTTGGGAGAAGAGTTGGCTCTCCGGAAATGAGCACAAATCCCAACTAGGAATTTCTTTTCTGACGGGGGGGGGG